TAAACAATCAGCGACGCTATCACAAATGCACTGCAGGGCCTTTCAATTTTCAGGACAATTTCAATTTTAAATATTTTTTTATAATTTTATTTTTACATTAAAAGGCTTAGACACAAGTAAATCTATATTTTTTAAGGTTTTATTGAAATTTTATTTAAGTTTCCAGATGTCCTCCATCATTAGCAATACAAAGGGTAATATGATTTTATAGATCCCTTTTTGCGGGGAGTTAATATCTTTTCCTTTTTATGATCGATAATCAGAGACTCTGTAAATTTTCTTTTCCTGATAGTCCTTCTAATTTCTGTCTCTTCTTGTGGTCTTTGAATCACAAAAGCTTCAAAGATCGCCTCCATCGAATCATCATTTTCAGCGGGTGACGAGCTTGGCTCTTCAACCCGTCTTGTTTGTATTTGGTCAATATGTCTTCTGTGGGTAAATTTTTCTCCTTGTATTGTGTACATCACGTTTCTTAGTCTGTTAATTATTTTTTTTCAAAGCTCTCTTTAATTCTTTGTCGACTTTCTCTACGGTAGCAAACGACACGTTCCGCTTCTTTTTAAATACTGGTTGGACATTTTATTTTAATTCAATTCTGGCTGCTACGAAATTCTGAAGGCAAAACAATTTCAACAATATTTTCACCCTTAAAGTTAGACATTTATAAATTGGAAAAAACTATTTATTAACAAATAAATTTATGAACTTAATAAAATCTATTTTTTAGTTTTGATAGGGCCGAGTTTGAGGTTGTAAAAGCAGTCGTATTAATTCGTAAAATTTAGTTTTTTAGTTAACCTTTTACCAGGGTCGTTGTTTTCTCCTTGATATACAAGCTGTAATTCATAAACCTTCATTTGATTATGCACATTTTCGCATATTTATTCGAGTTTACTATATTAAAAAAAGGCTTAGCTACGTTGAGTTAAGAAAAAAAATCATACGAACGGATTTCTTGTTAACTGCAATAATAATCGCGTTAGTATAACACAGATACCATCACTGACAGCTCACTGTCTATCGGCTGCCAACTGCTAGGAAGTTACACGCATAAATAAAACTACGTAAATATGTGACACACTCATTCTCATATGTAGACGCATTCTATTTTTTATCACACGAACCCAATTGATTCCGATATATTCTAAAGAAAAATAAAATATTTTTGTGTAAATTTGTTTTGCAAAGAATCTTTGTAATTCATTTATTTCAGTTTGTATGAAAACTAATACCCAATAATCAAAATGTATTTAAATTTGGAGAGCTTTGTTGAAGAGTGTTTATTTATTCGTTTTCACCAGCATGTGTTTCTAACGCCTTAACTGAGCAAGTACGTCTGGTGGAGGAGGCTATGTTGCTTCCTTGAGGTTTTTCCACTATTCTTCAGTAATCTTTCAACTCGCTCAAGCTGAACATTGAGTAGTCGGAACAACCCAGCTTTTCGTTCAGCATCAAGAGATCGAATATTTATAAATTTCAAATTTTTTTCATCTTGCCTCTTCTGACTCGCCTGAAGTTTAAATAATACCTCATAGCGCAATAGTAAATGATTGGATAGTTCAACATGTTATAAAAGGAGTCAATAATAAGACATTCTTTTGTTGTTGGTCGTATCCAAGTGGTTTTGAACTGATGAGATTGTTGAAAAATAGTGTTGCTTATATGGGTGACAAATCCATTGCAAAAAATAAGAAGGCAGGGTCCATTGATATTCATTTTCCCAACACCATTAGAAACAATGATATTTCCTTAGAACACATGATGTGAACCAAATATATCATTGAAGTCACTCAGTATATCTTGATAGGCTAATGTTCTTACAAATGAATCTTACAATCATTTCTAAAACATTGGGTTATATATATATAATATAAATATAAAAGTGAAAATTAAAGTCAATACTTGGAGGCAACAGGCTGTTTCCTGCTAGACACAATCTTCATGGAACAGCCTGTCGCCAGTAAATGTTGATTTCAATGGTCACTTTTATATTTACACACGGTCTATCTCTGATAGTGAGCACTTTATCTCATAAATATAGCACACCTTAAGGCGATATTCCTTCTTAATATATATATATATATATATATATATATATATATATATATATATAAGATTGCGTCCAGCATGAAACAGCCTGTTGCCTCTGAATGTTGACTTCAATATTCACTTTTATATTTATATTTACATACACTCTATCTCTGATATTGTGCACTTTAACCCATAAATATACCACACCTTTAAAACTATATATATATATATATATATGTGTGTGTGTGTGTGTGTGTGTGTGTGTGTGTGTGTGTGTGTAAGAGAGAGAGGAGGCAGGAATCAACACTGATTGAGTCGTTCAGTTTTACGCATCAATGCGATCCTCAAACCAAGAAGATGTCAATGAGGCGTGAAACAGACCGTTGCCATACACTTTTTTCTTGTGTCGATATTGTTTATATCTATCATCGCTCCCCACTAGTGAGTATTTTCTACCTATAACTATAGAAAATTTTAATAATACCCACACACACACACACACACACATATATATATATATATATATATATATATATATATATATATATAGTGAACATTGAAGTCAACACACAGAGGCAGCCTGATTGCGTCTAGCATGAAACAGCCTGTCACCTCTGAGTATTGACTTCAGTGTTCACTTATATATATTATATTCATATTTTATTCAATGTTCACTTTTATTATATTATATTTATATTTACATACGTTCTATCTTTGATATTGAGCACTTTATCCCATAAATATACCACACCTTAAAACTATATTTCTTCATATATATATATATATATATATAAAAGAGAAGCCGTAAACGTTTTTGTTTGTAATGTGGATTATAAAAAATATAATGCTTTATTTTCCATTACAACCAAAAACGTTTGCAGTTTCTCTCTTCTTTTTAATATAAACACTTTTCTCTTGTTGGAACTACTATAACCTCTTCCTTTTATATATATATATATATATATATATATATATATATATATATATATATATATATATATTATTATTATTATTATTATTATTATTATAAGAGATCAGAATAAAAACATGATGAATTCGCCACACAAAAGCTTTCATGTTTCAATACTTTGATTTTATTGTAATTTCTTATAATAATAATAATAATAATATATTGCTCTACCTTATATTGACAACATTTTTAAAAGTAAATATTACGAACAGTTGAATTTTACTCCCTATGTTCTTTCTCTCAGTCACTGTGTGTTTATCTAAAAATAAATACGCTTAAAATTGACCTTCTTCCCTGCCGTACGCCAACGGCTTTGGGGTAAAATCTCCGACTGACACCAGTTCAGTCGGGTTTCGATATGCAACCGGACGTCTAGCCACACTGATGATCTGTGATACAGCGAAACAGTCTGTCTGTGGATGACAATATATATATGAATTTTTGTCTTGTATAAATCAACTACTGGATAAAGTCTATCGCGACATCGATCAATTCAAATAGATTTTTATATATATATATATATATATATATATATATATATATATATATATATATATATATATATATGATTAAAACATACATGCATATATATTTTTTCTCAGGTGTTATAAAAACAGTGCTCAATGTTATATTAACTGAGCTATTAATTACATATGTGCGAATATACATAATATACAACGTTGATAGCACGACTCGGAGTTTCAGGCGAGCACGCAATCTTCAGGTGCAAAATACTCAATGACCCCTTAAATGTTATGAAATTCGCGTTCTGGTGGTGTTGATTTAAAATTATGTATTAAGACGTGTTTATTTTATTATTACCTATAATATTAGATTTAATTATGTATAATCCCTTAAATTTTTAAATTCTGAAGACGAAAAAGTTAATAAATATTTTAAATAATTTTTAAAATTTGAATTTACGTAAACACACTATTTATCAAGGGGGATAATTCACTTTTTGCATTAAAAACCTTCTTTAGAATATATTATTAAAGTAAACTTAGTTCTAACATATTTATAGGTTAAGACTATATATTTAATACATTTGGAAACTTAGCCTTATACTTAGGTGAAATCAAATATACACACATCATTATTAATCGAGTACGAACTATAATATGGAATTATATATGTGTATTGATATATAAAAATGCTCTTAATTATGATTTCTTTGAATATTAATAGATATTACATATTATATTAATATTCGTAAAATCTATTTTTTACCAGGGCCAAAATGCATGAGCAGGTCTTTATTTTTAGTTCTACATGTAGCAATCAACTGACTTCTGTTCAGCAAGTAAGGGTTATTTAAATGTTTTAATATAAAAAGCTTCTGTAACAAACACAAGTTACATCTGTCTCCCTTTTCTATAGTATGGTTTAGCTTTCGCGATTAATTCCCAGTTAATGATGTTAAATATTACTTTGGTTCCACCGAGATAAACTGGAAATCGCGCTTTTAACCACCACCCAATGACGCTGAACAATATTAAATACAAAAACTAGACAACACTCTCAAAGTATTTTTGCAATTAAAAACAACTATAAGAACATCTATCTATCTATGTATCTATCTATCTACCAGCGTTTCTATTTCAGGGACACTGTATACCAGTTTAATATGGACCGTAAAAAAGCGTGGAGTGAAGTGATTCCCATAATTTAAATGAAGAGATATCGGCTGGGGGGCCGTCAGTATCATATTTGTTGGGCTAATGTTAGCTCGTGTTCTTATAGTTGTTTTTAATTGCAAAAAATACTTTGAGAGTATTGTGCAGTTTTTGTATTTAATATTGTTGATCATACGGTATTGCGACTATCTGATTAACAGTTCCGAGCCATTATATCGTCCAAGCTTACAGCGGCTAGTATTTCTTAGCGGTCACCCATATAAATACTGACTGGGCTCGACGTTGCTTAACTTCGTTGATCATACGGTAACTCGACTATCCGATTAACAGTTCCGATCCATTATATCAACCACACATCCAAGCTTACAGCACCTAGTATTCCCAAGCGGTCACTCATATAAGTACTGACGAGGCTCGACGTTGCTTAACTTTGTTGATCATACGGTAACTCGACTATCCGATTAATAGTTCCAAGCTATTAGCCATTGCATCAACCACACATCCAAGCTTACAGCATCTAGTATTCCAAAGCGGTAACTTATCTAAGTACTGACCAGGTTCGACGACGCTTAACTTTGGTGATTGTACGGGGACCTGTGTATCAACGTGATATGGCGTAAGCTAGGACATTCGGAGAAATGCTGACATCGCTGTTATTGTTTAAATAGTTAAATTAATATCAACCGGCCTAGCAATCGAATTTTTTTTTTTTTTTACTCATTTTAGCAAGGCGCAAATATTAGTACGCACAGCTGTTACAGGGATTGAAAATAGTAGAAAAACTGAGTCTAGCGAGGACTGAGGAAAGGACAAAAAAGGAACAGCATTCAAGAAGATAGAAGATGGCGATCGACGTTGCATTTAAATTTTGGAAGATTACAATTATCAGAGAAAAAAGCTCGCCAGGGCAGTTGACATGAAAGTATTTGTAGAAAAGACAGGAAACTACGTCTGTGAAAAAAATGACTGAAGTCGAGATGCCAAGTCAGGATTAGTTATATTGCAGATCCTTCTTTAGATTTCGTCAGGAACTTCGTGATGAATAGCAAGAGCACCAGGCCAGATATGGCAGCAGTATTCCTTATTAAAAGAAAGAAAACCTCTCTACAGCAACCGGACCTGTATTCTTTTTTCCATGAGAGAAACCTTTAGCCTTTAAAAAAAACAACAGGGATCTCAACTCAAACGCATGCACCCACAAAAATTAACGTTTATATTAATAAGAAATATTGTTGGATTAAAAAAATCCGTTTAAAATAATTAGCTCTTTTCACGTTTCGTGAACAGAAATGTCTCAACGAGAGATTTTCATTCCTTAATTAGATAACCGAGTTTCCTCTTATCATGGTTTCCTGCCGTTGTAGGGCATAATGGCTAAAGACAAAAAAGAGTGCAATAATAAAATTGGCAAACATGCTGATATTAGATTTCATTCGTTGTGAGTGAGGCATTATCCCTAAGTGGCTTCGAATCTATTTCGAATTTATTTTGTTTCATTTACACTATATTAGGACTATTGTTGCTGTTATCACAACGATGAGGACAACAGTCCGGATATAAATAGTGTAAATAATGATAAATTCAGAAAAACCTTTTGTTTTGTTGAAGTCTATATAGGTTTAGCTAAAAAAAAAATCCAGTTCAATACCAACGTTCTAAACATATTCTTTTTTTTTTTTTGTCTTGAAGTCAGAAGACAATAACGACTTGACTTTAGCCTTTTTGCAAGTGAAAGCTGTTTTTAATTTGTGAACATTTTTTCTTTATCTGTCTATATTTCTGAGATGAGGTATTATGTACATTATTTACATTTTTCGGGCTATTGTCTTCATCTTTGTCGCCATATTTATCACAACGTTTCGGCCTTTCAGCATCTGTCCATATTTATGAGATTGAGATATTATTCACACTATTCACATTATTCGGACTATTGTCCTCATTTTGTCGCCATATTTATTACAACGTATCGGCCTTTTCGTATCTGTCTATATTTCTGAGATGGGGTATTATGTACACTATTTACATTATTCGGACTATTGTCCTCATTTTGTCGCCATATTTATTACAACGTTTCGGCACTTTAGTATCTGTCTATATTTCTGAGATGAGGTATTATGTACACTATTTACATTATTCAGACTTCATCTTTGTCGCCATATTTATCACAACGTTTCGGCCTTTCAGAATCTGTCTATATTTCTGAGATGAGGTATTATGTACATTATTCGAACTATTGTCCTCATCTTTGTCGCGATCTTTATTACAACGTTTCGGCCCTTTAGTATCTATATTTCTGAGATGAGGTATTATGTACACTATTTACATTATCCGGACTATTGTCCTCGTCTTTGTCGACATATTTATCACAACGTTTCGGACTTTCAGTATCTGTCTATATTTCTGAGATGAGGTATTATTCACACTATTTACATTATTCGGTATATTGTCTTCATCTTTGTCGCCATATTTATTACAACGTTTCGCCCGTTGTACGCCCCGGACTTCTTCAGGTGCTTGGAAGATCAAGGACACCTGGCACAGTGGATAAAGTCGTTAGTTAGCTCCAGTGACAGGAACCAACGAGTGTGAGTTCAATATCCGGTTAAGGCAATGGTGAACTTGGAGAGGGGAATTAACAGGAGATAACTGATAAGTGATATTTATTAAACATGGCACGTGGAACTAGAACATTCTACCCCAGTGAGCGAAATAAAGGGTTCAGTTCGGCATTCCAACCACCTGAAGAATGGCCGAAACGCTGTAATAAGCATGGCGACCAAGATGAGGACAATAGTCCGGATAATGTAAATATTTTTTTTCTTTGTTTACTGTTTATCGTTTCTTTGCTTTGCCTTGCTTTGCGTTGTTTTGTCTCGTATTATTTTACCTGTTCTTCCTTGTCAATGTGAATTTTACGTTCAACAATGCCTTCTAAAGGTTTCTTTAATGGAAAAAGGGAATAGAGTTCGATTCCTGATCCCAAAAAAGTATGGATTTTTCGATTTCTAGGTAGGATGTCTAACTTGACTGTCTAAAAAGATAGTTGGTATGCTGACTGAAACACGTGCACTTAATAAAAATAACGTTTATTGTAATAAAAATAGATTTGCATGTTGCAATGGTTTTACGGGTTTTTCTGATAGTTAATGATAGCATGAACATGCAGCGACTTTGTGCAATTAAGTAGATTTTTTTTAAATAAATTACTTCTGTTGTTTAGCGGTAAAATCAAGTTTTGCGTTTATTATAAATTATCACCTACGCGAAACGTGTACATGCAGTATTACGAAATAAAGCACGATTTCCACCATCTCTTTCGAAATTTTTTTTTGATGGTGGGCGAGGTTCCATGTGAGCTTTCCTATTTTCGAGACGTTACATTTACTTCCTCCTCTTGCATGTTCTGAATTTTAAAGATGGAACGTGGAATCAGAAAAAAAATAAGAGAGATAGAAAGAGAAAAAGAAAAGAACGAGAATGAAACTCTTGTTTGGGCATTTTCTGCACAAGTTTCAAGATTGAGCGACCTTTCTTTATGGACCAACTATTTCGCACGCTAACCAGTAAAAGCGAGATGTGTGACGTCACCGCCATTTGTCACCGGATCTTGTCAGTCACGCATGCTCACTTAATGTACACGTGATGGAATGTGTTTATCATTTACTTAAAACTTTGATCTTTTTGCGTTTTCTTGGCTTCTCTCTCTTTCTTACTTTCTACTATATTTTTCTCTCGGTTACTCTCTCCTGTTTCTCTCTCTCTTTTTCCTCTCTCTTTCTCTATCCCTCTTTCTCTCACTCTCTATATATATGCTGCGACTTTGTGCAGTATATATATATATATATATATATATATATATATATATATATATATATATATATATATAATTGATGTATATTTGGGCAGCAAACGTTCTTTTCAACATCTTTTATTACAGATGGCAGACAAGGAAGATTTAATTATCTTTTTTAATTCAGTTTTTCCAACATCCTTACAGTTTTCCGTTTTGTAGGAGTAAACGAGTACATAAATTTTCCAAGCCGAAAGTGCTCGGGACGATGGAAATTATGGAAAATTTCTGTACTCCCTTATCCGACAAAATGGAAAAACGTATGATGCTGGAAAAACTAAATAAAATTAATTAATTAAATCTTCCTTGTCTGGCATATTTAATGAAATACATACATATATATATATATATATATATATATATATATATATATATATATATATATATATATTTTTCATCCTTTTTGCATCACTTTTCGTTTTGTTCATGCTTACTTAAATTATTATTTTTCTGTCCTCATATTTTTTTATTCGCAATTTTATTTTTGTTTAATTGTTTTCTCCTTTTCTTTTATCTCCTTTTTTCGTTTTTCCCATTTTTCTTTTTCGCCATTTTAATTTTCACTGCTTTCTTGTTTCTACTGATCTTTTTACTTCTCTTCTTCACTTTTTTCGCTTCTTGATCAATTTTTAAATATTGTTTGCTTCGTCTTTTTGCCACATTACTTTTCTCTCTATCTATCTATCTATCTATCTCATTTTTTTTATTTATCGACCTATCACTTTCACTCAATTATTTATCTATCTGTCTCTCTCTCTCTCTCTCTGTATATATATATATATATATATATATATATATATATATATATAGAGAGAGAGAGAGAGAGAGAGATAGATAGATAGATAGATAGATAGATAGATAGATATGTGTGTATGTATTTATATATATTTCACTCTTTTATCTATTTCAATCTTTTATCTATTTATCACACTCTTTATCTATCTATCTATCTATCTATCTATTTTTCTCAGTGTGTTCTTATGCATCTATCTATCTATCTATCTATCTATCTCAGTCTGTTCATATCTATCTATCTATCTATCTATCTATCTATCTATCTCAGTCTGTACATATCTATCTATCTATCTATCTATCTATCTATCTATCTATCTCAGTCTGTTCATATATATCTACCAATCTATTTCATTTTATCAATCTATTTCTCTATTTTATCTATCTTTATATCTATCTATTTCATTCTTTTATCTATCTATCTATCTATCTATCTATCTATTTTGTTTTTTTTTCTTTTTGATCATTCATTTTTTCATTCGCCTTCCTTTACATTTTTCCCATTCTTTCTTGTTATTTTTCTTTATTTTTTTTATTTTTATCCCCCCCTTACGTCTCTCACACTCTGAATATCTCTTTTTTCGTTTTTCTTTCACTCTCTGTCACGCTATTCCTCCTACCCTTGTTCTTCTTCAATGTTGAAATACTCGAGCGATTGTATTGCCTGGCAGATAACAGAATGTCGATTGGGCAAATTTTGGCAGAGAAAATAATCGAAGAATTCGAATATGTTCTTGGATGCCACTTTGACTCTTCGTCTCTTCGTGATAGCTTTAATCAGGAACCATTGCCTTTTTAGACAATGTTAAGTGCCGTGTGTGCATGGAAGGGTTAAGTATATCAAGTCTGAGAATTATATTTAAGAATATATTTATGTTTAATGGATGTCAGCTATCAGTTATCTCCTGATAATTTCCCTCTCTAAGTTCTCCACTGCCTTAACCAGGTATTGAACTCACACTATTTGGGTCTT